ATGGTCTGTTGATGATGCAAAAGAATTATAAGACATGATACTCTTCCTCATGAAGTTTGTGATAATCTTGAGGAGGAGAGAATAACCCACAGGACACTTCAGGAAATGATAGTTGCAAGTAATTGCAGCTGAAATATACATTTTTTATTCTAACACATAAACAAATAAGGAAATGAGTAATATATATGACAAGTATGACAGTTTTTCAGAGAAATTGTGTTTGAGGTCAGCCTAGCGGAAAAGAACGGATATGCTATTTCAGATAGAATAATATGGAAAAGTAGAGAAGGAAGAATTTGTGTTTGTGAAAATTATAGGGTTCTGCCTTAGTAAAAGTGAAGTAGTTTGTATTGAAAATACTGGGAAATTGAGCCTTGGAAGTAGGACAAAGTGATTGTGATAGACCTTGAAAGCCAGTAGAGAAGTTTGGATTTGAAACGATCAAAGTCCGATACAAAAGAAAAGACGGTTTTCAAGTCATATTTGATATGATTTGATTTGATTTGATTTGATTTGATTTGATTTGATTTGAGGCTTATGTAGGTTTTGAAGAGGGGAATAAAATAGGTCAATAGTAACAATAATAATAGTAGTAATGAAAGTTAACACTCACTGTTTCGATTATGTGCCAGGCCCTGTTTGAACTGCTTTGTATATACTAACATATTTTGTCCTGAAAAGGAAGGAAACATTTTCTCCACTTTTTCACTTTTAGAATAGAAAACAGAAATGGAGAAATTAAGACATTCACCCAAGTTATTCATTTAATAAGTGATAGGAATAAATTCAAACCCAGGCACTCTGGCTATAGAAGTAAAGCATTAACAACTTCAATAGATTGCCTATCAAAATTTACAAAGATAGCTCTGAAAAATAGCACCAATCTGGAAAAGACACAAAAGATGGACATAACAAAAACTAGCTAGTGATCTAGAAAGCTATTAAAGTTAATCTAGGCATGAATTGAGGACTATATAAATACAGAGAAAGGAATGAACTGAGAAATATTTTGAAGAACAGTGTCACAAGTCAGGTTCCCTGGAAATAGAGTCAGAGACTGGAAGTCAAGTGTGCATCATTTATTTAAAGAGTGTCCTCAGAAGAAAGGAAGCAGGATAGGGGGAAAGGAAGGAGCAAATCAACGATGTGGTCTCTGCTCGAGCTTCGCTTCATCTTTAACTCAGAGAAGCCCTGGGCACGACTTGCTGCAGAGTTAGTTACACCGTGAGGGAAAGGGCAGCATATTGTACCCTGGTTCTACCACTCATTGCCATTGGGCTCACCTGCAGGCTGACAGTTGGCTGAGGTTAATGAGGTTGGGGATGAGGTAAGCGTAACAAGAGCACAGAAACTCCCAGAGAGGCAGCTCCTGTTGGGCCAACTGCGAGTCTAGAGAAGGGGTAGCTGGGAGCAGTGAGGTGCTAACATCACTGGCGCAAGGGGTACAGTGAGCCTCATGAAGGGGATCTGGCAAGGCAACCACAAAGTCCAATACAAAAGGAAAGATGGATTTTGTGTCATATTTGGTATGATTTGACTAGGTTTATGAAAGGCATTTGATGTGATTGATTTGATTTGATTGATAAATGAAGGAGAAGGAGACATAAATGATTTCATATTATGTTCTCTGAAAGTTCAATACATTAATGGTGCACCATTTAGAAACAGGTGAGTAAAAAACAAAAGAAAATCCCACAGGGAAGTCTTTGAGTTTTGGGCATACTGAAATACTACAGGGCTATCTGGTGAGCAGTTACTATAGGTATTTGAGATACAAGGCAAGATTTAAAATCACTATGACAATAACAAGGCCATGCTTGTGGATGATTCTGAACCAGTGAGTGGTAAGGCAAAAATTTAGAGGCCTGAGAAAAAAATCAGGGGCAATGAAAGGGTCAAGGAATAAGAGCAGGAAGACAAGTCAATGAATTGGAGGTAAGCTGAGATAAGAAAGTCTATACCATGCTAGCTAAAAAGGTAATTTAAAGAAGAGTGGGAGGACAACAAGGTCAATAAAGTGGAGTGGGACTTAGGAAAGTTTAATAGATTTAATAGATGAATAGTACCTCAATGAGAGGTTTTCCAGAGGGGCTGCATGTCTTCACTTACTTACGCATAATTTTTTCTCCCACTTCCCTTGTAATAATAGGAGATACATATGTATATATAAAGATAATATATTCTGTTATTCATTAAATCTCTTTCAAAATCTAATTCAAATCTTATGTATCACTTAATCTAAATGAGTATAAACTTTTCTGCACTTCTCTTACCGAGTTAGAGACATGTAATGTATTTTGTATGTAATAATTGATTAAGAGGATTTCATGCAATTATTTAAAATTGAATTCTATGGGTCACATATTTTTCTTTAAATGGATTTGGCCCTGCTGCAAATAATACTGTGGTTAAGACTAAACTGGTTAACTTTATATCAGTATACTTCTTATGCTCTAGGATATTTATACATACCTGATTTATGGTAGTTTATTTTCATATCATACAATGTTATATTTAGCTCTGATAAAACTGATCACTTGATAATGATTTATCTAATCAGTATGTAATAAATATTTCAAGACATATATGTCAGTTATTTTGTCAAACTTTGAGAATATAAAGAATTGGCAGGTTTAGTTACTAACTGCACAATTGAATGTTCATTGAACTGATCATTTTAAATATTTCAATATGTTTCCACTCTTGTATTAATATTAATAATGGAATAGATAAAATTATGGATTCCATAAAACACTTCCATAAAATGCATAAAATATCTATTGAAGGATTTTTTTCAGTTAAAAGAAGTAATGTCCCTCTTTATTGAGGTTAACTTTCACCATGCCCTTCACTTATATTATAGAAATAAAATATATAGCAGATAAAAATGCAAACTAAGTAACTGAAAAATAATTTATCCCGATTTGAAAAGTATGGAATCTTTTAGATAACAATGCCCTGCGTTGACCTTTCTTCCTCTCCCTTCCCTTGTGATGTTCTTAGAAAGGTGCATCCAAAGTTTACTAAGTTGGTTAGCTTACAGATACACTCATTATATTTAGTCTTTTCTACATAGCCTCATCAATTTTTGAGCATTTCCTTTTTACCAGAACAAAAGGTGTTCTAGGTTCACCTTGTGCTTTCCCTCCTCCAGCCCTGTGGTCTGTTTTTCTCCCAAGGAGCCCTTAATGTACATACACATCATGTATACCCACATACATATACACAAAACCTAAGTATTTCTACTTTTTTAATATTAAGAAGTGTACATTTACAGTGATACCTTCAATTTCAGTCCAACATCATAGGGTTTTTATTAAGCCTTCTCCCTTGCCATATTTGTAAGTCCATTTTCCATCAGTGAGTAATCTTTCTCTGTGATCCTCAAGAATGTGCTAATATCCTCTAATCTACTCGTTAAGTTTTAGAATTTCTCATTCATACAACTGTGAAAAACACACCTCTTAACTACAATTAATTATTTTTACAGTTCGCTGTTTCTTTAGAATCACAGTGTTTTACACTGTCAAGTGTTTTACTGATTTTAAAATGTACATTTCTACTTTAGATTTTAAGGTACATGAAAAATCTTCACTCCCATTATCAGAAAAATGAAATATTTACACTTTTCCTTTGCTATCAAAAAGCTGTGGCATAAACAATAGAAACTTTAAAAGTAACTAAAAACTAGAGTGATATTCCCTTCTTAGCCTCAATTTTTTTTCCTTTTTTTGTTGGCCCAATGCTCATTACACAACTGAAATTTACAAACATGGGGAAAGCAGGAGAATGTAATCCATTGTCAAAAGTCAAATCAGTCAATGGAAATCAACCTAGAGATGATCCACATGTTAAAATTATTGGTAAAAAACATTGAAGCAACAATGAAAAATAATTTAAATTATCTATAGGAGAAGATGAAAATAACACAATGGGAGTATCAAGAGAGAGGGGAACAATTCAAGTCACTGGAAATCATCTATAGTGAAACAGAGTAAAAGAATGATAGAGAGTAAAATGAACTGACTCAAACTACCTGTGAGGCACTCTCAGTTACAGTCCTAGACAAAGCTAGAGAATGAAATAAGTGAAATAATTAGGGATTCTTTGAAGATAATGTTCCAAATTAGATCAAAACGATCCATTTACTGCTCCAGGAAGCTCAGGAAAATCATAAACATAGTAAATGCCAAGTAGCCATGTATAGGCATATCATAGGCAAACTGCTACAATTCTAAGATAAAGAGAAAAAAAATTAAAAACAATTAGCAATAAAAGACATAGTAAGTCAGAAAATCGATTATAAGAATGAAAGCTGATTCTTTATTAGAAGCAATGAGGTCTAGATCATAGCAGAATATAATTCTTCTAGTCCCTAAGGAAAAAAAAATTCTCCCAATCTAGAATTTTATGTCCCATGAAAATAATTTTAATAAGATTTTTTTGATACAGCTTAAAAAAAGACATTTTCAGATAAATGAAAGCTGGGAGAATTTATTGCATCATAACTGTACTATAAGAAATACTGAAGAATTCCTTCCAGTTGAAAGGCATTGATATCAGATTAAAGCCTGTTTCTTTGGAAATGCATACAGAGCCCCACAAAAGATGGAGAAGGGGATAAAGGTAAAATAAATGTTTATTTTTACATATATTCTTTTAAAAAAGCATCTTAACTGAATAGGAGAGGGCAAATTAAATTAAGTTGTTGTAAGGTTCTTAACAATATTCATGAAGTAGTATAATTTTATTTCAAGATAGACTTGTTAAAGATCAATATTTTAATCTCTAGGCAGAGTTAGCAAACTTCTGTGCAGGGGCCAAATCTGGTGTGTAGCTTATTTTGTTTAGATCATGAGCTGAAATTCAATTTTGCATTTTTAATTGGTTGTAAAAAATTTTATAGGAAAATATGTGACAGAAACTATATATTATTATTGACACTTAGCATTTTGACGCTTTACATTCATGTCCTAAATTAGATCCTGTGACTCTTTCAGACTTGTTCTGAGCTCAGTCTCCGACTATTTTGCTGCCATGTTTACAAGTGATGTTTGTGAAGCCAAGCAAGAGGAGATCAAGATGGAAGGCATAGACCCCAATGCTCTTTGGGACCTTGTCCAATTTGCATATACAGGTATGTTAAAAAAGAATTATACCTTCACATTGCTGTTTTGTGCATGTTAGAATTTGAGTACAGAGTTTAAAGCTAAAAATTGCTTATCTTGTATCTTCCATTTTTTTTTCAGTTGAAAGACTAACAGAGAAAAATTAGAATATCTTTTCATTTGTCTCTGAAATCACGATGTATATGGTATACATATGCCCTACTCCCTTCCACAAAGGACTCAAACTGGCTTATAGAAATGAATAGTTGATATAATGAGCTTGGGAGAGGAATAGAGAGTTATTAATTATCACATAAGAATTTATGTCTATACTTTCTCAGAGCATTAGGAAGGAAAATAGAATCTAATTTTCTTTCCTTTTGGAGCTGATGGGTTCAAATAACTCTTTATTCTTGTGATGTTTTATTTTAATATTAAAATATTCACAGGATATTTAATGTGGACAAACTTAGTTGAAAGGGACAATGAAGATCTTAGAGTTGTGAAAATTACTAGATTTTGAAGCTTTTTTTCTGAACTACTATATTGACATTTTCAAATGGCCTTTGTACCTTATTATATTTAGCACATTCACGTAAGTTTTGTCAACTTAGCAAACATTTGTTGAATACTATTCATTGTACAAATATTAACTATACCTTTGGAGAATAAACTAATTAATAAGGCATATCTGCCCTCTAGAAGCTCACAGTCCAAATAGAGGAAAGTGTTAGATGAGAGAATCATTATATGTAGTGCAAAATATTAAGAGGTAGGTAGAAAGCATAAAACCCGCTATTCAGAGCATTATGAGACTCACATTCATTGAAAACATTTTAATAGTTTTTAAGATTAGTGAGATAGGAGGAAACAGTATAATAAAATCATGTGATAGAAGCAAAGACAAATGGTATGGATTGATGTAATTTTTAGAAATAGCATGTGTTTTTTTGCCTGAACTCCTGGTAATGGTAAGAAATAAGAAAAGAAAAGTGGGCTAGGGCTGATTATCAAAGCAGTGGGACCCTAGATTAAGAAGCTGTGCTTTGCATAATTTCTGATAACAGGCAAACAAGAGATGGTATTGTAATGATCAATCACCAGAACCATAAGGCTGTGGAACTAGTGGGAATCTATCCTCTTGGAGGATTTGGCTTCTCATATACTGGAGTTTGCTAACTCTAATGTAACACTTACTCAGTAAGTGTTCTTTGAAAAGAAAATTTTACATGCTCTAGGTCCTGAATCTTTAAGCAGCAACATGATGGAAAGACTTCGCCATTTCCCAGTAATTTTTTAATACTTTTAAAATTATATTTTGTCAATGCAAATATTGCACTGAACAAGGATAAACAGCTAAGCAAATCTTCAAGACAGTTCCAACAGGAAAGAGAGGCCAGATCTTAGTCTTTACTTAATTCTGCTGAAGCAAAGAGAGGTGGGAAGAATTTTAAGTGCTGGGGTGAGAGACAAAGCACAGGCCATCAATGTTTGCCAGTTACCTTTACCTAAAGGAAAAGTAGATATTCTCCTATCTTTCTGGCAGAAGTAGTTTTACAACTAGGAGCAAGATGCTCACTCCACACTCTAATCCTCCCACAAAAACTGAGAGATGGGTGCTCTCTCGCTTGATGTTAGCATTGCAAAGAGATGACTCCTGGGTCCTTGAGGAAAACATTTGTGGGTTTACAATTGGCAAAAGACTTTTAAAATTATTTAAACTTCATAGAGATAGAGAAAGAATTTATAATTGCAAGTTTTCTAAAGTAAATGCTCTAAGAAAAGGGAGATGAAAGACCTAGAATCAGAAAGTAGTCTACAGTTTAGCTGAGTGGCCATTAAAAACATCTTCGTCAATTCAATTTGTGCACAGCCTGAAATAGTTATATAGAGGATTATTGGCCTCCCAGCTAAGGGATAGCGAATAAAACCACAGTTTTTTCTTTGACAGAAAAGAATCATGAAGCTCACATTTTCAGGTCCCTTCTAGCAACAGAATGGCATAAATTCCACACTTGTAGCTTCCATAGCCTGACAGTCTTGTGTTTCTCATGGGTAAAATAGGTCAAAAGACACTGATCACCGTGCAGCGCCAAGTTGGCAGGTGTTCCAAAGCTCCCTGCTGAATGCAGTGACCCTGATGTGGCTCTGCTTTGTAGAAGGCGGACAGGATACAGGCTGCCTTTCAGATGTCATTGCCACTTTGGCCTTTGATCCAATATTCATACTTCCCTGGTGGTTGATAAATTTCTAATTGTTAGTTCATAGAAAAGTGCTAAGTGAGCAAATAATTTACAAGCTATTTTGGGAAAAATTTTTACAAGCTATTTTGGGAAAAATTTTAGGCAGAACATGAAATATGTACCTTGTATTTCACTACATAGAGTGTAACAAATTATAACAATCAAAGAGATAAAGTAAGCAATGATGCAGAAAGGGAGGAAATAGGAGGTATCTATATATATGTCTGTTTAGTCAGCTTGCTAGTTGATCTCTAAGACTTTCCTTGGTAGAAGGATAAAAATAAATGCATTGCAGAAAAAGGGAAAAATGAATGAACAGTGAGATATTTTAGAGGGTCAGCCATTTAGTAATATTTTCTTAAATTTTGAGGTTTCAGAGACTTCAGAGAAACTAAGGGGGATCAACTATGTCAAGAATTGATAGTCAACTATTAGTTGTAGAAGGAATGTGTTCAGTAAAGATGGATAGAAGTGCTTTAAAATTATTTAAACAGATAAAAATGTCCATGAAACCTAGACTGTCTGTAAGAGCTGAAAGGGCCCAAGCAGCTACTTTATTTCATTAACCTAGAAATTAAGGAAAAGAATGAATGGGTGAAGTAGCTTGAAATGAATTTTTTACTGAGATAAGCTCAACAATTAATAGTGTTTAATCATCTTTGATTTGAAGAAAGAGGATTCATCCTTTAAAGAATTTCATGGTGTCAGATTTGTACATGGTGTGACATAGGAGACACCCTATTGGCCCATCTGTTCTCCTACTCCAGCAAATCAGAATGAGGAAAATGCGACTAAGGGCTGATAGAATTTCAATATGAACTAAAGCGAATAGTGAGAAAACACTTTTTTCTGGTACCTGGGAAGAGTGATAATAGCTCAAAGAGAATATATTTTTAGAAGAAAAAAATAATAATAGAAGGGTTAATACTAGTATTGTGTAAAATGAATACAGAATTTATTAAAAGCAATTAAGGTCTCTGTGTTGACAAAATAAGAAACATTCTTGGAAGAATGAAGGGTAAAGATACGCCTAAAAAATGATGGCTAATTATTACAGTATCAGAACTGGTTTCTTGACTTAAAAGGAATCTCTTCACACATGGTAATAACTCAGGAATGGAAAAGAAATGAAAATTTACCCTAGTGTTAGAAATAATTGTATATCTAACATGAGGTTCATATCATTTTTCTAAATTCTTAATTATTTAAGCACTTTCAAAATTTCTTCTCTTTAAAACTTGTTGTTGGGTTTTCTATATAGTGTTTTACTAGGAAATCTGAGTGTGATCTTAGTTTTTCATAGAGTAAAAGCATATTTAAGCAACAGTGTGTATTATAAAATAAACAAAATTATAAATGCCAATTTTAAAATCAGTGATTTAAATTTAAAGTTGGAATACTTGGTTGTAATCCAGAGAATATGTAATTATAAGATCATGTTTCAATTATCAAAATCAAACAATAATTAGGTTATAAATATTTGAGCATTTATTGTGTAAAGAGGGTCACCCTAGGGACTAACATGAAATATAAATAGAGGCCTGGATGGATATTGATTAAAATGACATAAAGCTTCATACAAATTTGGTAATGAATAGAATTATTGGAGCAGGGCATAGTGAAAAAGCTCTTTACTTCTGTTTTCAAAAGATTAAGATCTATATATCACTATCAACTTGATGACATTCTCAGTTGTTCAGTGTCAAACAAACTTAAAAACAGCTGTTTAAATAATTCCTACATTAATGGGACCTCTATTCAGCAGTTTTGCTCATTTAGAGAAGATACCTAAAATATTGTTTCATTTGCAATAAATCCTGTGATTTGGAATAATGAAGTCAAGGATCTTCTGAAATTATTCTACAAAACATCCTCAGAAGCATGGAGAAGTGAAAAAAATGTGTTTACAGTTTCTCATCATTCTACTTTCAAATTATTAGGAAAGTTAGAGGTGCATAGAGCTTTAGAAATTCCATCTTGAACCTTACAAATTTTATAGATAAACATATTTCTATGGCTAAGTATGTGATGCAAAGCAGAGGCACCATAAGTATTTTTTTAAATACCATAGTTTTATATTTCAAATAAGCATTGACAAAATCATGAGATAACAGAACTTTGTTGGTCTCTTTGGAATTAATTAATATGAGGGGACAGATTTTTTTCTTCAGCACTTAAAAGCCTCTGAAGTTCTTAACACAGCCTAGACAGTGAGGTAAAGTAACCTGACAAAGATCAATAGTCAGATGTTGAATCTATTACTAGAATAAGGCGTCAGAACCCAAACTGAATGGTATTTCCTCTACTAAACCAATGCCTTTTGGAAGAGTCTCAGCTGTAAGGGAGTTCCTTAGAGTGGTTTATGACTCTTGCTCTCAGAACGGTTTGGGGAGCTTAAGCCGACTCCCTCCTGATATGCAGCGGCCCCCTGTGGATTGCTTCATTCTTCCTCCCAATCTAATGCCAATTCCCTGCATGAGGCAGTGGCGCCTGATAACTTACGCACACTCACGTCTAATAGCCCTTGCCTGAGAATGCATTGAATGTCCCTCAAATCTTACTACAATCCGACTATGTGCTCTTCCAGGATGGACTCAGGAGGACAATAAGCTGAATCATACATATTCTCTGCCTCTAAGGGACTTTCCAATTTAGGGTTTAAAATAATTAATCTTTGCCATAAACATGCTTTTGATAAACACAGTCTAATATTTCCTTATTAGAGAATGGTGTAAAGCACAATACACACACACACATACATATAAGTTCTACCCCAAAATTGATTA